AGCAGCACTCCATTATCACATGCTATTTCTGCTTCAAAGCGTGTGTAGAGAGAAAAACACAGTTATAAATAACCTGAGATCAGTTCAGTCAGGCCTTATTGCTTGAAGGGCTTGGGGGTCTTAATTTATGAAGGAAGTTTATGTTTGTGCATAAGAGATTGTAACCCTGACGATGATTTAAAAAAAAAATTGATGCCATTATTGAGCACCTGCTGTGAACCAGATGTAGGTTTACAGGCACTAAACAATTTATTTCTACAAATAATACCTGTGTATTACAGAGAAGTTAGGAAAAACAGGAATCCTCAGTAAAATAACTGGATCGTCAAAGGATGCTAAAACCGTTGGTAAAATGTTACTGGGGAACAGCCCAGAATTAATGCTCAACAGATGATTTATTCATTACAAAGGGAGGAAATGTACCTACCTAGTTGTTTTCTGACAGACACCATCTTAACCAAGTGATCAAACAGTATCCCCAATAGTGGGACAGTCTGACATCAAGTGTCTTTTGATGTGACACTATAGGAAGTACACAAAATTGCCTGTGAAGAATTCTTGTTTACAAAAATAAGTTAAATCTCCATTTAATGATGAGGAAGCAATCAGATATTGAAAATGGGAGGTATGCCCAAGATAATGGCCCTGAACTTTTCACAAAGGTCAACATATAAAAGAGAGAGAGAAAAAGGAGAGGAGAGGAGAGGAGAGGAGAAGAGAAGAGACGAGACCAGGGAGACATCACAACCAAATACACTTTATGCATCTTGAATGGGTCCTGAATTGGCTATTTACTTTGGGTGCACTCTGGCTCATGCTGGTTTTCTTTTCCTGTCTGCGTGTTCCTTGCCATTCTCAAATGAGAAACAAGGCTGGTGTCTGTAGGTGATGGGGGTGTGGTTCCTGTATAAATGTTGGACTGTTTTTCCACCAGGCCTCTGCCCTGAGTTGGAGCATGAATGGGAGATTTGTGTCTGGGCATGATGGCTTGCCCACTGGTTGGCCTCATATGTGGGTGGGTGAGAGGCCAGAAACCCCACTTCTGGCTGCCCCTCCCTTCCTCTACAAGTGCCAGAATAGGACTGGCTCTGTGAATGTGGCTTTAACAGGGCAAAAGGGACTTTGCAGATGTGATTGAGTTAAGGATCTTGAGATGGGAAAGTTATCCTGAATTATCTAGGTGGTCCTTATAGAGGGCGTCAAGAGGAGTCAGTCAGAGGGATGGCAATGTGATGACAGAAGCAGAGATTGGAGTGATGTGCTTTGAAGATGAAGGAAGGGGTCACAAGCCCAAGAATACAGGCAGCCGCTAGAAGCTGAAAAAACCTAGAATACAGGTTCTTCACTCAGCAGCTACAGAAGAAACCAACCCAGCCAGCATCTTGACTTTAGCCTAGTGAAACCGATTTTGGACTGTAAAGGAATAAAATTTTGTTGTTTTAAGCCATTATGTTTATGCTAATTTGTTATAGTAGCAAACTAAGAAAACTAAGGCAGTCTCTTTCCCAATCCCTTTGCCATTGTCAGCGATTCTCTTTTTTATTCCATTACTTACACAAATGAGAGTGTATAAGTATGAGGTGTGGACCCCACATGAGGGCCAGTGATGCTGCGCCCTCTACAGCTAAGATGGTGAACAACAGCAATGAAAAACAGAAAAAATACGTCATGACTTTTCCGACAACCACTTGTGTGTGTGTGTGTGTGTGTGTGTGTGTGTGTGTGTGTATAATGGCTGGGTCATATGGTTATGGTAATTCTATGTTTAATAATTCTATGTTTATACTCCTACCAACAATGTATGAGGGTTCTAATTTCCCCACATCCTTGCCAACAATTATTTTCCTATTATTATTATTATTATTGTTGTTCTATCAGGTGTGAAGTGGTATATAACCCCAACTTTTATTCACATCAACTATGAAGACCTGAAATATCAAGACCCTACACATTTGCCAATTCAGTGTGTTATCAAACGTTTTAAATCTTTGCCTAAGAAGTGAAAAATGGTACCTCATCCTAGTCTTACTTTGAATTTCTTTTGTGATGAAGAATGTGATCATCTTTTCCTGTGTTTAATTAAGAAGTACTTCTTTTCCCATGATTTATCTGTTAATCAACCTTTGCCCACTTTCCTGGGTTACTGTTCATATGCTATGTTTTTAAAATGATGTGATGGTTTACACCTGAAACTAATAATAAAATAAAATTTAAAAAATGATGTGTTGGTTGCAAACACTGAAAGACCACAGGGATGATGTCACATAAAAAAATCTAATTTTCCAGCTTCTCTTGGAAACAGAAAGGCCTGGCAGCCCTGGCCCCCACTCAGGTGGCAAGAAGTGGCTGGAAGAAAGGCCTCTCTGTAGAATACACTGTCTCCCACTGTCATGGATCTCACCCTGAGCTGTGCTGTGCCTGGGCCCATCACCCATCACAATACTTGCCTGGCCCTGTGGGCATTTGCAGTGGCAGCTCCTAGGATAAACCTTTCAAAGCACTTAGCCCAAAGTCAGGCCCTGCAGACCACTATACTGCGAACCCTTCGAAGAGAAAATAAATCTCAAAAACAGAGCTGGTCAGTCTCATTGTAGTGATGGTGGTAAAAGGGACCAGTTAATAAATTAAAAACATGGTGATGATGTACAGATTTGGAGGGCAGAGAGTAAAATGAAAACAAGTTTCAGCATGGACTT